TAACCGCGGCCCGTGGGGGTGCAACCCGCTTCCTTGGCCCGTGAACCGCCCGCACGGGTCACGGGTCGGCCCGCGGTCCAAGTTTTCACAGGCCGATTTTCACGGGTCATGGCCGGCCCGTCCGTCTTGACACCTCTATATTTCTTAGATGCAAAAGCTAACACTGAGCTGACTGTCAATAACATGGATCCATTGAATAACATCTCCAAATCCTCCAGCCTCCTAGAAAAAGATCATTTCTCTTCAATCCAAAAAAGGAACAAAAGATTAATCATCAGTTTCTTCACGTTAATCATTCTGTTAGCACTAATTATAGGAGCCACGATCACATCTCTCCTTCACGATCATAATATGAAGTTACTGTCTCTTCACCCAAATCTAGCAATCAAAGAATTCTGTTCCGTGACTGGGACTCAGTCAACTTGCATTTCTTCTCTATCTTCCACCATTAGACCCACGCCTGAAGCAGACCCTAACCAGATTTTCATTCTCTCTCTTGAAATCTCCATCATCGGTTTGCTCAACATTACTTCAATGATGTCGACGACAAGGTCAAACGACTCGGTTTTTCAGAATTGCTCGAGTTTATTGCGTGACTCGCTGAGTCAACTCAATGGCACGTTGGGGATCATGCACCACAATCCAGATATAATAACGCAGACGTATGAGCAGAGGAGAGACATGACGGTGTCGATCACAACGGCAATTGATGATCTGAGATCTTGTGTTGATGATCTGGGGAAGGTGAAGTCGACGGCTATTGATGAAGTAAGTGTGGAGATGCATAAATTAGAGGTGTACGTTAGCTCTAGCAGAAGTTTCCTAATCAACTGCGATGGTGTTCTCGAGAATTTCGGTTATGCTTTGCAAATGGAAAACGCTGAGAATTCAAGTGACTTGCTATTTTTCGAAAATTTATTTGCTGTAAGTTTTTATGGATCGCAGTATTTGGTTTTAGTTTTTCTATTTTGCTTGCTTTTACGCATTTACTGATGTAACTTTTGTTATTTAGTGCAATATTTTAATCATCGTCATCACTTTAACGGTTGTATTACGACTATTAACCCTAATATTCGGCGCCGTCGCCGGTGTCCATGAGTCAGTCACGGAGCCACCCGAGTACGACAAAGAACCCTCACAACTCACCTCCAACACGGCCGAGTCACTCAAAACCTTCTGCGCCATGACTCGTTACCCCTTCTTTTGCTTCTAATCCATTTCCTCCCTAAACCATCCACTCACTGTGAATCCTTTGCACTTTTCAACCTCTCTCTTCAAGCCACGGTGCAAGAACTCTCGAACCTAACTTATCCGCCTAACGAATTGATTGCGAAGTCAAACGACAAGCCGACTGAGTCGGCGATGAAGGATTGCGTCAGTTAGTTGAGTCAACTCAATACGTGACTGTGGCCCACGTATTGAGTCCTCGTTTAGGACTAAATATGTGATTGTGATTAATGAATTAGGTAATTTGTGAGCTATTAAATTTGTGACTTAAATACGTGATCGTGGCCCACAAATTATGTTTTTGTGATTATGATCTTAAGTGATCTGTGATTGTATGTGAACATCATAAATTCTACGTCATTGTCACCGTTATTTGTTAAATGAAATTATGTCCCTATTTGGTGGCGTTAAAAATTTTAAAACATAATTTTAAATAGTATTTTAAAAAAAATATGTGATTGAAAAAAATGAAAAAAAATTATGGATTTATGTGTAAAATATTTTATTGTGTGAATTTGAAGTTGAAAATGATCTTGGAGCAAAAATTAAATTAAATTTAGTGTCCGTTTGTTTTCCATTTTTATTGTAAGAATGCATTTTAAAATAATAGATTGATGAAGAATGTGTGATTAAAAAATAGGAATTTTTTTTTTGATTTATATATAATATTATTGTATTGAAGAATTTGTGGTCGAAAAAAAAAAAGAGAAAAAATTGTATTTTAAGAAAAATGTGTTTCAAACCGGGGCTAAAGGTAGTAAAAAATGGGCTATAGGTCATAATGCTTTATAAAAGATCATATAATGTAACCTCCTGATAGTTTGAAAAAAAATTCATAAGTTTTGTATTTTTGAAAATGCACTTTGAAACCTTCATATTTATATATTTTTTTCATAAATATATATTGTAACATTACTAATACCGCGCAAAAATTGTTTCCTAGTATTAGTTTTCAAATAAATCCTTTATTTGGGAAAACAAAAAATCAAAATCTATGAAAAAATAGTTACGATAAAAATTTATTCCTACAAAAACAGAATTCTGATACGCATAAACCATATCACCACAAAAAAAAAAAAAGTAGTGCCAGAGAGAATAAAAAATACTTTTAATTTTCTAAATTTAAAAAATTTACACATATTAGATTCTATAAATTCAATTTGTTATTGTAGATATAAATGCATAAGTATATTAAAACAATAGAATGGATCGATTTAAATAATTAGCGCATTTTAGTATAGAGGAAATTACACCAAACCATGTCTTTTCTTTTACATTTTAAAAATTCAGGTTTTTAAGTTTTTTATTCAATTATCAGGTTTTTATAATTTTAATTAATAATGATTTTATAAAATTAAAATAACATATATACCCACCCCACTATCTACCCCCACCCACTTTATTTTAAATATAACATCTATCCAAACCCTAATCCATTTCACACCTCCTCCCTCTCTCACCC